AGGGTCCTTTTTTCTTTTTACTCAGAAAATATGGCTTGGGCCTTATTATTAGGGGGGAGTTTATTGTTTTTGGGGTGCCGGGTGGCTGCTCTCTTGCGAGCGGGCTCCCAAAGAGCCAGGCACAGCCTCATGGGCGAATGGTTGTGTTGCGCTGTTGCAGCAGCGCAACACAACAGCCATGAAGCGACCACGGTCATGAGCAGCCACCTGGCAAACCCCCTTTCCAGCTGGGCACAATGCCATTCACTGACCTAGGGGTATCGCCAAGCCGCGTGAGCGCCTGTTCGCCACCGTCTGGCTCCCGCGGCTTTGCGCCTTCAAAATGCCAGTGAATGGTGCTATGCACGGCTGGAGAGGGGGGTTTGCGTGAGCGGCTGTTCCGCTCTCGCTCATGCGCCTCCTAGCATCACGATGCCCTGGCCCAGCTCTCCCTGCAGAGCCAGGACACCTCCGCTGCTGCCGCCACCACCATCCCAGCATGGCTTTTTCGGCGGCTTCCAAAACAAGTCTTCCAGCAGTGGCCGCTCTGGGCGTACACTCTATGGTTGTGGGCCAGCTGCCAGCAGAGCAGGGGATTTTCCGGGTGGCTGCTCATGAACATGGTCACTTCATGGCTGTCGCCCATGAGGCTGTGCCCGGTTCTTTGGGAGCCCGCTCACAAGAGAGCAGTTGCACAGCAACCCCCCTCTTCAGCTGGGAACAGCGTTGCTCACCAACCTAGCGGTATCCCAAAGGTGTCAAACAACATGATCACTTTTCCCTCCCCTCTGGTTCCTGTTCCTGCGGCTTGGCACCTTCAGGACACCGCTAGGATGGTGAGCGGCACTCTGCCTGGCCGGAGGTGGGGAGGGTTGTCTAGGGGGGTTATTTGCAGGGGAGGACTTATATTTTTGCCCACCAGAAAAATGTGGCATGGCCTTATTATCAGGACATGTTGTATTTTCGGGAAAACACGACGTAACGTTTCTATACTGTACTTTGTTCCTGCTAACTACATACCTCAATTGTATCATACCTCCCAAACAGAAAAACCAAGATTGTCTGTAACCAATAATCTGCGCATTGAGGGCAGAGATTGGCCACTTGTGCATCTGTTGAGAAGCAGAAATGATCCTGTTGTCAGCTTCTTAAATCTAATATAACTTTCCTTGAATAGCTCCAGTTCATTTGAGGAATTATCAACAGCTGTGATGTTTGCACCCAGACATATTTTAAATCACCTTTTCTCCTTCAAATCCTCTTCACTCTTGACGCTTGAAAACTACAGATACCTTTGGAGAATAACCTTAGTTTGTAAGAGGTTTGTTTACCTGGTATATTTTATCCTTTTTGTAACATTTAAATGTCTCTTCTTTCCTTCCTATCCAGTTGTTGCTTTGTCTCCCCTCACCACCATCCAGTTTGTTCATTTATTATATCAATTTATATGGCTGCCCAAATCAAATTCATGACTCTGAGTGACTAACAGTATACAAACAGGAACACACATGTAATCTGCAGCTGAGGTTAAAAAAAATTAAACTCCACAACAACAACAACAAATCAGCACAAGTGTTGTACTAGCTCTGCTACACACCCAGATCCCCCAGTGTTTTCCTTTCCTACTTTTCTTCCTCTTCTTTTCAATGCTGGATTCATCTTTTACCCATTTTTATCTTTCCTTCAGTTCATCTTCCTATCTACAAGTCTGCATTGTTTTAATAGTAATCTTAATAATTTGGACCATGTTTTATAACCGAAAGTGTAATTTATATTTAAATAACTGGTAATAATAATAATGTTATTGTCCAGCTATTTTTTTTAAAGTAAATGAATATTCCACTGTGTATAAAACTAAAAGCATACATCCTGGCCAGAGGTGCCTTCAGCTAGCCAAAATGTGAATCGTAACATTATAATGCAATCACCACCCTTTACATATGTTAATACAGTGTTAAAAC